TGGTCACCACAGAGCCAAATCTCTACGGAAGGTTCTCCCTTTGCTGTAGACAACCAAGTCACACAGAAAACAAGTTAATAGTATGGCCGCCAGGCTAGAAGGTATAATCACCAGTCAAGGATCACAAGTGTGTACATAGCGTAAGTTTAAAGTGAGGTTTCAACAGAGGAGTGCAACGGACAAGTGACGTAGTAGCAGCAGCAGCAGCAACACTCACAGCAAAGGCATTCTTGAGCCTCCCTAGCGCTCGGGCCTCGGCCCAAAGCTGGGGTGTGGCTCGAAAAGGATCCTGTTGTGCTTGCCGTCTTTGCATCTCCGGATATTGTCTGCTGATATAAAGTTGCCACACCCTTCGAGCCCGGTGTAGGCGAGGTTTGTGGCAGCCCAAGGTGCTTAGCTTCTTTCTCCGAGCCCCGTAGGGGCGGGGAATGGGGCTAGGCCTGGGGACATCTAGTGCCAGAAGAGGAGGGAGTACTTGTACCTCCTCCCATGGCAGACATAGGTCTGAGACACTCCCTCTATAGGGAGCCATGGCCGGGCCACCTCTTGGAAAAGACCCGGGCCGGGCGATTATACCAGTGAATCTAGAACAGAGTGAGGTTAGGCTTTCCTGGTGATCTCTTGAAGGCATTGGTCTAGTTTGAATAATTGTGTTTTTCTTTCATGTAATATTTTTCCATACTAATGGAACACCGATGCGTAAAAAAAAAAAAAAAAAAAAAAAAAAAAAACCGAGTCATAGCACTAAAAAGAAAACGGGAAGCATAGCACTAACAGAGCGTCGGAAACAAGATCCGTGAGAATTTAGATCACAGAGAAACATGGCTTGTGTACAGAGGGTTGAACATGGGAACACTGGTGTGTACAGGACATGGAGTACAGCACCTGGGTGTCATACACTGTTGGGTCACAGAAATGTTCACACTTGGTTATCTTTTAAATGGCGTCGGATGCCACTATGGCGTACTGACCTCACTAAGTGAAGAAACAGGCGGGACAAGCTGTCGTTGGTCTGTTGGTTTAGTAGCTTTCTTATGCACCCCACACCCCATCCTGTGGGTGGTAGTCAATAGATTACCGAGGTACAGAACAAGTCCAGGGACTGACCTCCATGCTAGTACGTTTAGCTATGTCATAATTTGATAAATATTGCAGAGCGAAATGTCTCATTAAAACCTTATTCTGTAAATTGTATTCTCCTAGTTGTAATTGCAGGGGTCGATTCAGGGCTCTTGGTCGGACCAGTTCCAGATTTCTGGCCTTCTATTTCTGGCTTCCGGAAATCATACCTATCCTTAAAGCTGTGCCTATAGTTTGCCTCCATCTCATCGATCTGTGTGTGTCTCCACGCAGGCGTGGCTAGCCACAGTAAACTTGCACATCTCTGTGGTGTATTCACAGCATACTTTCAGATCCCTGTATGCTGTATCCTGCGTGACAACAGCACTGGTGTATCCGGCATAAAAGCATGATAAATGCAGCAGCGGGGTATCTAGCAAACAAATCGCATCAATACATCAGCAGTGGGTTGCAGAGGCTTCAGTTTTTGGCAGACCATTTAGGATGACCATACATAATATCGAACACATGACATTATATCGAGTGACCTTTGGCTCATAACATCCGGGGGAATGAACAGTGTAGCTTCAACACCGACCTATGGCATTTGGCTGTCCCGTTAGCTAAATTTACATAGCCGTTATCCGGCTTCCACCGTCTATGCAACAGCGTATCCGTCAGCTCACCCCTAATGCAAAAGCGTTAGTCAGAATGTGAACCCCTAGGCAATACTTCTTGTTGGGGGTTTATAGGGCCACTGGCAGCTTACGCCGTATCGAGCCCTCTCAGTCACTGCTTATTATAATGTTTTCTGGAAGCATTACAGTTAGAGTCTTCATACAAAACTTGAAAAAAGATTATCAGGTTGGATGTAAAGACTGAGAAGCTGCAACTTCATCGATGAAGAGCACCTCGCGAACACGGAGTAGAGGGTGTTATACGTCGGATATCAGAGATCCTCCACATTAAGCTTTGTATCTGCTGAACACCAACAGTACTATCATTTACAGGACTGGATCCACTATCTACGCTACTGGATCTACCATCCACAGGACTGGAACAACCATGTACAGGAATGGATACACCACCAATAACGCTTTTGATAGAACCCCACATAGAAGACAATCAAAAGTGGCAACACATGGTATTCGACGAAAATTTACCTCGTTAATAAGGCTGGTTAATAAGGAAGAGGTTTGCATCAATGAAGAAACCAAAATTGCGACTGGTTTACCTGGAGAGAGTTCCGGGGGTCAACGCCCCCACGGCCCGGTCTGTGACCAGGCCTCCTGGTGGATCAGAGCCTGATCAACCAGGCTGTTACTGCTGGCTGCACGCAAACCAACGTACGAGCCACAGCCCGGCTGGTCAGGAACCGACTTTAGGTGCTTGTCCAGTGCCAGCTTGAAGACTGCCAGGGGTCTATTGGTAATCCCCCTTATGTATGCTGGGAGGCAGTTGAACAGTCTCGGGCCCCTGACACTTATTGTATGGTCTCTTAACGTGCTAGTGACACCCCTGCTTTTCATTGGGGGGATGTTGCATCGTCTGCCAAGTCTACAAATGGTGTTCCACAAGCATCAGCCTTGGACCTTTTGTTTATGATTTACATTAATGACCTTGCTGAGGGAATAAAAAAAAGTAAATTAGCCTACAAAAAAAAGAGGCCAAATGGCCCACCAAATGGTTAGAAGGAGAATGTCACTGACTTTCGGAAAGATGTGGACAAGCTAATATTGTGGTTCAGAAAAGCAGAAGACAGTTCAGTGTTGAAAAACAAAGTGATGTTAAGCTTGGTGTAATACTTGATCTTCCTATCATGATTTGAGAGTCATGGTAAGCGTAGAACTGAAGCCAAGGCAGCGGTGCTTAGGCCTGCGTAATATGGCTAACGGACTACGTGGGTTTATATCAAGAAGTGTAAGTAACAGGAGTCTTCAGTTCTATATCATTAGTAAGAGCTCAGAGCAGGCAGCTCATTTGTCGTCTCCTGCAACAGAGCAGATATAACAGATAGAAAACAGAACGATAAAGCTAATTCAGTGTATAGGGATTCTTACCCACGATGGAGAGCTCTTGAACCCACACACAGCACAACACACTAATCCCTCCAAGTACACTAACACGCCACAACCACTAGAAAACTGTATTCCCCCTCAGCACAGCACAACACAGCACAACAAAGCACAGTACAACACAGCATAGCACAGTACACGACAACAGCACATCACAGCAACACGTCAAACGGCTCCCTGACAAGTCATTCTTGATCTAAGCTTACTGCAGCATTTTTCTTCCAGAAAGGTGTACTATCTTGCAGCTTAAGCTTGAAAGCTAGATTATATATTAGAAAAAAAAAATTAAAATCCTTAAAGTTCACAGCACCTGTGAAGTGGGAGGTAATCAGGTTTGATTCGAGGAAAGAGCTCCAATTCCTCAAACCAAGAGTAACTGGCATCAAGGCGTCGCTTTTGAAGAGCCAAGGGTTCCTTAAATCCCTTGGATCAAGAACCCTTCGCTAACATTCAAGGTGGAGGGTAGTATTTTTGGAAGGAGTTCTTATGATCTGTAAAATTTCTAAGAATTTCTAAGATTTCTAAGAGTTTAAGAATTTAAGAATATCTAAGAATTTGAAAATTCCTTCAAAATTCTGTGTCTAATTAGAAAAGTTCCAGGTTGATGCAGTTAGAATTTTGTATCGAGATTTGCACATAATTTGTATGTGTGGATTTGTGTATGTGGATTTGGCTCGTGGAATATATACGAGGATTTGTATATAAATACTTACACATGATTTGTATGTGAAGTTATGTATACAAGGATTTGTTTATATGCATATATACATAAAGTTGTAGTTTATGCTGATGTGCATACGATTTATATTTGAGGATTTAAGATTTATATACGAGGATTGTTTAAGGGGATTTACAGCAGGAGAGGATTTTGTGTACGAGGATTTTTTTTTATGACTGAGTTATGTGGATGGTGACGCCTGTCTCAGATCAGGCTACCCTGTGGTTCCACCGACTCGAGGCAGAGCTTCAACTAGATACCAGAGCGTCTACTCACGATCAGGCTACCCTGTGGTTCCACTGACTCGAGGCAGAGCTTCAACTAGATACCAGAGCGTCTACTCACGATCAGGCTACCCTGTGGTTCCACTGACTCGAGGCAGAGCTTCAGCTAGATACCAGAGCGTCTACTCACGATCAGGCTACCCTGTGGTTCCACCGACTCGAGGCAGAGCTTCAACTAGATACCAGAGCGTCTACTCACGATCAGGCTACCCTGTGGTTCCACTGACTCGAGGCAGAGCTTCAACTAGATACCAGAGCGTCTACTCACGATCAGGCTACCCTGTGGTTCCACTGACTCGAGGCAGAGCTTCAACTAGATACCAGAGCGTCTACTCACGATCAGGCTACCCTGTGGTTCCACTGACTCGAGGCAGAGCTTCAACTAGATACCAGAGCGTCTACTCACGATCAGGCTACCCTGTGGTTCCACTGACTCGAGGCAGAGCTTCAACTAGATACCAGAGCGTCTACTCACGATCCACTAGTTCCATTAATTTTTTTTTTCAGAAGTTTTGTGATAAATGAGGATGAGAGTCGAACCGCCTGTTGAGAAAGAATTTTCGAGAATTTCGGAAATTTTGGAGTTTTGGTTCGTGTGGGGATGTAGAAGAGGGGATAGTGTGGGTAATTGCGTGTGGGAGGTGGGGGAGATATTGGGTAGTAGTGGCGGTGGGTAGTAGTGGTTGTGGGTGGTGGTGATAGTGGTAGTTTGGGGGGGCGGTGATAGTGGTAGTGATGCTAAAATGTTTCAAACCGCTGAAATAATGAGTTAATGCTAATTACCTATTTTTACTAATTACATTACCTTTCTTAATAAGCCACAAGACAATTATATTAAACGTAAATAACAATGGGAAAAGTTAC